GTACAGGGAATTTATATCTTTCATGGTAACAGGGCTGTTATCTCCTTTTGTAAGAGACCATTCAGGGAATTGTTTGAAAATAGTGAAAGTTAACATTACTGAAATAATTTTACCCATAATTTACTTTTGCCCTCATGTACACTGCTGCATGAAGTGAAAGTCTTTCAGAGAGGTGATAGATATATCAACATAATCACACCAGACTTGCCTACCCAGTATGCTCTTTCTTGGGTGGGAACTCCATTGCTATTAGAACAGGCCCAGAGATGCAAGAATGAAGATGTATTAAACAGATTGTATTATAAATGTTTTTTTCTTAGGCTGTACATGAGATTTCCTGGGTAGCCTAACCAACCCTCTTGCTGAAAATATAATGATTTGGGCAAATCTGAAGGAATGATTTTAACACCAATGAAATATATTTTGTTTTAGATCTGTGGATTAACACTGAAACTTCTAACATGTGTAGGCACTTCTCTTTTGTAACATATTTAAAACCATTGTCATATCATGATTGAGTTAATTTCTTGATGCTTTATTTTCACTTTGTAAGTATTACATGATTCCACTCATTGAAGACAGAGATTTTTCTTATTGACCATTAGAGCTAACTTTTTCAAATTTGTCTTTTATCTGTTTTAGGTTAACATCAAACAGTCATGATTTATTTATAATATCCATCATATTCCCTTATGAGGTCACTGATAACAGCATTTTTGATAATGTATTTTTGATATTTATCATAGGTTTTTGGTCCGTTTTTGTAATACATTCAGAATGTTGTGGAAAATAGATTATGTATTTACTTAGAAAATTAGACTTCAGGAATTATAGACCATGAATTGATTGATTTTTCAATCATTTCAAAGAAAATCATACAGTAAGAAGTACTAAGGGTGAATATATTTTTACATGATGGGAAACAATATATTTAAACATTTTTAGAGATATCCAGCAGCCATGATATCCTCAGTTTAGAATGAAAGTCTTAATCATACTATTTTCTTCTGTAAAGAAATTAATCAACTTGGATAGTTACAGAGACAAAGTTTGTTGATTTAATTAGATATTCCAGAATTAATGGACTGATATGTAATATCTTTTTATGATTATTATTACTTTTTGTTGTGTGTGTGCCCATCTTGGAAAAGAAAACAGTAAACTATACAAAGTTTGAGGCCTTTGCTTTCCTGAGTGGTAAGAGAAGGCAATGCAGAATTCACTGTAGTTTTATGTTTGTTGTAAGACTCATAAGCATCAAGAACATTTAAGATATACAATTGCTTTATCAATTTCAGTTGATACAGAACTTTTAATGAGTAAAAAGTAAGTAATTCACAACAAGCCACCTTTTTCAAATGCACTACAGCTTGGCAAATGGTGCAGTGTAATTATGCTGTCACCATTTGTCATGCATATTCACATAACGTGTCAGCATTGCATACCTGGTGATTTGTTAGGTACAGTTTAAAGCTGCAAGCTTATTTAGAGTCTAATCATGTAATTGCTCTGCATCATTTTTTGCAAGCAATCTCTAATTAAAACAATAACTAAGAGAAAAAATATAAATAAATCAGAGATATGCGTATATTTTTTTATTTTTGGATAATCTGTGATTCATTTATGATTCATTTTATTTCATTCCGTTGATATTGTTTTTTTCAGCAAAATTGTTTTAAGAATTGTAGTGAATTTAACTTTTTTTTGTTATGAGAACATCTACTCCTGGTATATATGAAATTGATTTTACAAATTATATTATTAGGTAATTTATATGTGTAATTTAGGTCCTGATTATGACATATTTAGATAATTACTTGCATGCGAGATAATCTTCAGTTGATGAATGCTAGATCACTTTAAGAAAGATTATGTAATTCATACATCCAGGCATCAAGATGATAGAAATACACAATATTTCTAGCATGGTGAAATAGGATATTATAAGAATAAATGCTGACTGAATGGGTTTAATGGATGTTTACATGTGAAGATGAAATGGTTTTAAGAATAAATGCTGTAAGGAATGTATGATTTTTAATTAGAAATATTAAAATGTTTCTGCCATAACACTTTAGGACACAAGAAGATTGAATAGACTAAAGAGCAAGGAAATGACGTCTAATAGTTGAATAGGTAATAAGTAACTTCCGAAAACAACAGTAAGATGGTGAGGGAAATATGGATTCGGGATTTCAGGAAAAAATTGGATTATTGCTTTATGGATTGAGGATTTCAGTCAAGGAAAGATCAGCAATGGAAGAAAAAATAGATTAGGCATTTTAGGTTAGAGATTGATGAGCAATTCAAGACAGGATGTCAAAAAGATGTTGATGAGCAGTTTTAGAAAAGAGATGGAATAGGAGCTTTAGAAAAGAAAATGGAAGAATTAGGGATTTCAAGCAATAGATGGATTGGAAACTTAGAAGAAGAAAAAATGGATTGGTGATTTCAGAAAAGAGAAGGAAGAGAGATTTTATATAAAAAAAGTATTAGTGATTCCAGGAAAGGGACACATTAGGGATTCCAGGAAAGAGAAAGAATAGCAATTTCAGATAAAGAACAATTAGGATGTAGATATATAAGGATTAGGTTTTTTGAGTTGGATATATTATAGGCTTCAGATTAAAAAATGGATTAGAGCTGCCAGTGAAAAGGACTGGAGATTTTGGTCAAAGAAAAAGATTTAGGGATTTCAGGTGAAAGAAGGGCAAACCATTTTAGAAAAGAAATATTTGAAAGCTTGAAGTATAGCAGATGCAAAGAAAAAAACAATCAATCAATCAGTTAGGTGCTACAGGAAAACAGTTTGAAATATTTCAAAGGAGAATTGGGATTGTTGGATAAAGGAGAAAATGTTTAAATAATGAAATAGGTGTAGGATGTGTTAGGTAATAGAAAAAACAAAGAAAAGAAGATCGACTGACTTGTAAGGAAATTAATGACAAAACGTTACAAAAGAAATTGTAAATGAACCTTCCCAATATAATAGGGATGAGAAAGTAAAAACTAAGAGTCCAAAACCATAACAAGCCAACAAAAACAAATAAATTTATAGAAAAGGAAAGCAAAAGTGATAAGAAAATCAAGAAGTTGAAAAAAAAGGTGAGAAGGAAACATCAAGAATTGGGAAAAGGGGTTTCCAAGTGCTGGGACAAGACAAGTAGGTACGGACAGCATTGCTCCTCCTCCACACCACCAATCACCACCTCCACCACCACTTCCTCCTCCTCCTCCTTCTTCCCTTCCTACTCCTCCTTCCCTTCTTCTCTTCTCCTCCTTCTCCATCCTTTCTCCTCCTCCTCTCTTTTCCTTTCCCTTGCCCATCATTTCTCCTCTTCCTCCCCTTTCACTCCCCCTTCCTTCCCTCTTCCCCATCATTTCTCCTCCTGCTCTCCTTTCCCTTCCCCTTCCCTTTTTCCATCATTTCTCCTTCTCCTCCTCCTTCCATCTCTCCCCTCCCCCTTCCATCCTTTCTCTTCCTCCTCCTCCTCCCCTTTCACTCCCTATCACCATCCTTTCTCCTCCTCCTCCCTTTAGTCTTCCCCTCCCCTGCCCCTTCCCCATCCTTTTCTCCTCTTTTTCTCCTTCTTTTCCTCGTTCTTTTTCTTTTCTCCTCCTTTTCCTTCTCCTTTTCCTCCTCCTTTTCCTTCTCCTTTTCCTCCTCCTTTTCCTTCTCCCCGTCCTTCTCCTCCTACTCCTCCTTCTCCTTCTCCTTCTTCTCCTTCTTCACCTCCTTTTCCTCCTCCTCCTCCATTTCCTCCTCCTTCTCCTTCTCTTCCTCCACCTCCTTTTCCTCCTCTTCCTCCACCTCCTTTTCCTCCTCCTCTTCTCTTTTCCTTCTTCTCCTCCTCCTCTCCACCTCCTTTTCCTCCTCCTCCTCCTCAGCCAGTAATCGGAGACTTGCACAAATTGTGGAATCGATATAGCTCTCTGGCGGCGGTGCGAGTGGCGAGTGGGTGGAAGGGTATTGTAGAGGGAGAGAGGGCAGGGAGGGGGAGGGGAGGACGGGGAGTTTGGTGTGAGTTTGGGTGAGAGGGCTTGGGGAAAGGGACTTTGGACGAGTTAGGGTGAAAAGGGATGAAGCGAGAGTGAAATAGGATGAGAGCGTAGGAGGAAAGTGAATCAGGGTGAGTCGGGGTGAGAGGGCGAAACGGAAGTGAAATAGGGTGAGAGGGTGGGAGGGAAGTGAAATAGGGTGACAGGAGTGGGATGGAAGTGAGTCTGGCTTGAGTTAGGGTGAGAGCGTGTGATTTTAGGTGAGACAATGAGGAAAGTGAGTTTGGGTGAAAACGTGTGGGGGAAGGGACTTCGGGTGAGTAAGGGTGAGAGGCAAATGACTTTGGGTGATCGTGTCTAAGGGTGAGTTAAGGTGAGAGGCAAGTGTGGTTGGGTGATTCAGAAGGGTGAGAAGAAGTGAGGCAAGTGAGTTTAGGGTGAGAGAGTGTGAGGTTTGTATTTTTGGGTGAGAGTGTGAGTTTGGGTGAGAGGTTGATCCGAGTTAAATGGTCTAGCGTGAACGGA